CGCGCCCACACCGAACCACGATCCACGCTCTTCCGTGTTTACGCCGGTTCCTCATGCACTGTCCAGCTGGAGCCCACGTGACCGCTGGTCATGCCTTCGACCAATCCCGCTGCGTTCCGCAGACACTGCCTCCGTGACGTCATCAACTTTGCACATTGGCCTGTTGAATGCCCGATCTATTGCAAATAAATCATTCTCTCTGAACGATCTTTTCAAGAGGGAAAAGCTGGATTTAATGTGTCTCTCTGAGACATGGCAGAGAGAGGAGGAGTTTGTTCATCTAAATGAACTTTGTCCATGTGCTGGCTGTTGTATACAGGGACAGTTCCACCTGCAAAATGACTCAGACACAGGATTTTACTTCTTTTGAGATGGTCATGGTGGGTTCTTCAAATCCATTCTACTGTGTGTTAATCTACCGCCCCCCTGGTCCTGCTGCTGTGTTCCTGAAGGATTTTAGCGACTTTTTATCCTCAATAATAAAGTTGGAATCTGTTTTAATCCTTGGAGATTTTAACCTTCATCTCGACGACAGCTCATCATGCTCTGGAAAGGAGCTTTTAACATTGACTGAAGCTTTTAATTTTGAGCAACATGTTACTGAGCCCACTCACCAAAAAGGCGACATCTTAGACTTAGTTTTTACCCTTGGCCTTGAGATTTCAAATTTGTCTATACAGGACGTCCATCTGAGTGATCATTGTCTTGTCCTGTTTGATCTGCACTTTAGCCCTGAGTCTAAGCCTTTAGAAATTAGATCTCAGAGGCGTGTCATCTCCGACAATACCGCACAGAGTTTTTCTTCTTTGTTTGATCCTCTGGTGTTCATGGACTGCCTTGATGTGGACAATTTTATTTACTGCTTTATCAGTGTGTTAAAATTCTGGATCAGGTGGCCACTGTAAAATCAAACACGTCATTACGGAAAAAAATGTGCCCCTGGACAAATGAAGATACCCTGAGCTTAAAGAGACTATGTCGTAAGACTGAGCATCTGTGGAAATCCACTCACCTTGAGGTGCACAGACTTTATCTTAGGGATCTTGTATCCTCTTATAATGAGATGGTGGGAAATGCTAGATCTGAGTACTTCCGTCAACTGGTAACAGTAAATAAGAAAAACCCCAAAGTGTTGTTTGACACGATCAATTCTCTTGTATGTCCTGCTGCTGCCCCAGTTACCCCTGTTTTTTGTGAAGCTGACAGCAATGCTTTCTTGAGATTTTTCATTGACAAAATTAAGTTGATCAAGGAGAACCCCCCCCCCCCCCCCCTTCTTCTTTTTTGTGTGGAACCCCTGCTGTCATTGAGCCTGCCTCCAACTTGTGGTCCTCATTTAGGCCCGTGGCTCTTGCTGATATCTCGGCTCTGGTGACCAAGAGGAAACCCTCCTCTCGCTCATCTGATGCCCTTCCGTATAGGCTTTTTGTGAAAGTGCTTGATGTAATTGGCCCCTGGGTGACCAAAATGGTCAACCTTTCTCTCTCTACGGGTGTGTTTCCCAATAGCTTTAAGCATGCCATAGTGGAGCCTTTACTTAAAAAGACAGGCTTAGACCCGACTGTCCTAAGTAATTTCAGGCCTATTTCTAAGCTGCCATACTTGTCAAAGATCCTAGAGAAAGTGGTCGCTGAACAGCTGTCATTTTTCCTGGATCAATGTAACATCCATGAGACGTTTCAGTCTGGCTTTCGTAAACATCACTCTACGGAGACAGCCTTGCTGAAAGTGTCCAGTGACATCATGATGTCTGCTGATTCAGGAAAATACACTGTTCTAGTTCTCTTAGATCTGTCCTCAGCCTTTGACACCGTCGACCACCAGATCCTGCTGAGAAGATTGAGAGATGAAATAGGACTGTCAGGGTCAGTTCTACATTGGTTCTCATCATACCTCTCTGGGCGAAGTTTTAGTGTCACAGCAAACCAAATTAGTTCTGAGTCAGCAGATCTGCTGTGTGGAGTCCCCCAAGGCTCAGTTTTGGGTCCTGTTCTTTTTCTGTTATATTTGATCCCCTTGGGAAAAATCATCCGCAGATTTTCTGATGTTTCCTACCACATTTTTGCTGACGATATTCAGTTGTACTGTTCATTCAAACCTACTGAGCTCCATAAGCTAAATTCCTTAGTCCACTGTTTGGCAGAGATTAAAAAATGAGTAAGTGATAACACCTTGCAGCTAAATGTGGACAGAACAGAAACTCTGATTATTGCCCCTGATGACTCCATTCCAGGGATAAGTCAGTACTTAGGCGACTTGGGCCAGTCTGTTGAACCGAGCCTGAGAAACCTGGGTGTTGTTTTCGACAAAGACATGTCATTAATGCAACACTGTAATCAGCTGACCAAAAATTGCTTTTTTCAACTTAGGAACATCTCCAAACTTAGAAAAATGGTGTCACATAACGATTTGGAACTGATCATTCATGCATTTGTGTCTTCACGTTTAGACTGCTGTAACAGTTTGTTTTCCTGTATGAACAAAAAGGAGCTGTCTCGCCTGCAGTTAGTGCAAAACTCTGCAGCGAGAATTCTGACCCGCTCAAATAGGAGGTCACACATATCCCCAATTCTTAAAACCCTTCATTGGCTGCCTGTTTCTTTTAGGATAAATTTTAAAATTCTGGTTTTAACTTTCAGAGCCTTGCATGGTCAGGCTCGATCTTACATCAACGACCTGATCCAGCCTTACACCCAAGCCCGGGTTCTGAGGTCTGTGGGTCAGAATCTTCTGATGGTGCCTCACACTCATTTCCGGACCAGAGGAGACCGATTCTTCCAGGCTGTTGCTCCCAAGCTATCTTCCGCCTGCTCTGCATTCGATGGAGTCTGTTGACTCTTTCAAAAGAGAACTTAAGACTTTTCTATTTGCTCAGGCTTTTCCCTAACTGTGTTGGGGCTGCTATGGTTCTATAGTGTTGTTTTTGGCCTTTTAAATTTTAGCTTTGTATGTATTTATTAACTGTGTATTGTTTTTGCTTTTTGCTTTTACTGTAAAGCGCTTTGTGACCTTGGTCTGTGAAAGGCACTGTATAAATAAAGTTTTACTTACTTACTTACTTAGGTGAGACTCGTGGGTGATTGACAAATGAAGGAAAACTAGGGAAGTAAGATCGGACTATAAACGCAAGGAATCAACTCCTACAAAATAAAACAGGAAATAAACTCTAAAAACTTATCTAAAGAATAAAACACAGAGAACAGGAGGGAAACAGGGTCAAAGACAAACTGAAAACTCTCAAGACTAGACTACAGGGGAACAGGAACAAGAGGGGAAAATACACAAAATGAACTCAAAACCAGAAGAAAACTAAATTAACAGAACATATCATGACAGTAATGTGTTGGTCAGCATAACACCGCGTGTCACATGATTAAGGTGGCGCTGCAGAGATCTCTGAGAGTCAGATCTGTGATTTTTCATGTTTAGGAGCAGAAACCAGAGAGCAGAAGGTAACCACATCATTATAATCAAGCCTATCTAATACCAAACCAGTGTGATTGTGTATTTGTCTTCCTTTGATAAACACTGACTGAGTTTCATCAATTACCTCCCCTGAACCTGTTTTTGATTTGTTGGGTTAAGCCTGAGCTCAAAGTTGATAATCTACACAAAGAAGTGTTAGAGGTCTCCAGTTGTGTTTCATCACCTGCTGAAAACTCCACCGAGGAGCTTTAAAGAAAGCCGAGCCAATATCAAGAAGTGTCCAATGTTTCCTGTGTTAACTTACTAAGCTGCACTAAGAGGAGGAGCGACTGAGAGGAAATTTGACGCCACATTTCCTGAAACAAAATCGAAAGCTGTTCTCAGTCCAAGCGGAACTGCAGTGGAGTTAAGTCGCTGTTTCTCTCTGAGGACAAATTTCAGTGAATCATCGAGTTTTTCTCAGAATCTCTTTCCATCACTGGTGAGTGACCGACCCACAGAGATAAAATGCCTGAACTAAAGATTTAATTCCCTGGGGTTAGTTCATGTCTGTCTGAATGCAGTTACACTCAGCCAGCAGACGGATCATTTCCTGGCCTGTCTGCGGCTTTGAGCAGGAAGTCAGCGAAGAAGAGGAACCTCACTAAGACTCAGTATCACCTTGTGTTAAAAGACTAAAAAAGACTTAAAAGCTAAAAAATTACTGAGATCTGCTCTCAGATTACCAGATAAACAAATAACTGATGTATTTATGGACATGATCAGTAAATCATTGATAAAGCAGGATCCATCTCTGGGTGTGAGACATGATCAACTTTTATTGACCAATAAAATAACACACAGTTTGATTCAGTGTCATAAATGTGACAAAGTCCAAGTTTGAAAGAGCAACATTGATTTCAGAGTGAATTAAATTTGTTGTCCTTCATTTCAAAGGTGAACCTCATGTCATTTTTCTGAGTCTGTTCCACTGATTTGGGGTTGAGTCAAAGTTGAATTGGACTCCTTGTCAGAAGATCTCTCATGGTTGGTTCTTTCCGGAGCAGACAAAAGGAGAACTTGAATGTTTCCATATGTGCGCAGGTTTGACTCTCAGTCACATCAGATATTATCCTGGATCACTCTGAGGTTTCTCTGTCATGTCCTGACAGCAGGTCTCTGCAGGGTCCTGCAGTGTGACTGGAGCTGGACTCTGGTTCCTGGGTGTTGGTCAGTGATTTCATGTCTGTTTGTGTTTGTAGACTTTGACTGTTCAGTGATGAGAGTGTGACAGCGTCCTCAGATTAATGATGATGAACTGATGAAGGACGATCAGCTGCAGTGTTTCTCTTTGTCTTTCTGCTACAGGTGAAACAATAAGTGGATCTGGATTCACCTGGTGAGTATTTTCTTCATTCTGTCAAACATCAAACTGAAAGTTTTCACGTCTTCTTCATTTTGAACAGAACTGGACTCTGAATGGATCCAGATGAGCTCTCTAGTAAACAGGAATGACTGTGGCTCCATCTGGTGGTAGAATCTGGAATGACACTGTGGTAGAGGACAGTATGTGTCTCAGGATGTACTGACTGACTATGTTGTTGTGTTTGTGTGAAGGTGGGGGCTCTGCTATGAATCAGCGTGAGGACAGAGAGGAGGGAGCCCCTCCCTCTAAAACCACTCTGTGGGGGGAACATGAGAGCCAGACCAAAGCTCAGAGGTGAGATGAGGATCTCCAACTGTCCGTGACTCTTCTCTATGTCAGAGATCAGCACTCACTCCACCATCACTATTATTCACACTCAGACCTCTGTCTGTCTGTCTGTCTGTCTGTCTGTCTGTCTGTCTGTCTGTCTGTCTGTCTGTATGTCTAAGACCTGAATGGCAGTACAGACCAGACTCTCCAGGACCTGGACCCAGCTGTGTGTCCTTCAAGAGTGACCGGTCTATGGGTCGATATATGAATTTCAAAGTTGGACCTCAGTCTGATCGTCAAAAGTAATAATCTATAACAGCAGCACTCAAACCAGGAAGATTTTTAGTGTTCTTGTTTCTTCATCAGTGTTTGTGTTTCTGTCAGAGTCAAACATGAGAGACCAGACTCTCCTGGACCTGGACCTGGACCCAGCTGTGTGTCCTTAAAGAGTGACTGGTCTATGGACAGACCTATTAATTTCAAAGAAGGAGATATTTGTGATGAGCAAAGGTGAGACTTTCAAACTGAACTTCCTTTTGTTGTGTGTGAAACTTTTCATCCTAACTGTGGTCAGTGTTTTCTCTGTGAAGGTGAAGATTTTTCAGGGTTTGTGTTTCTATCAGGATCCAACAGCAGTAAACAGGATCTGAGCCAGAAAGGACTGGACTCTGCATGTATCTTCATGTGTGTCCTGTGTCTGTAGGAGGATCCAGCAGTGTTTCTACCAGGATCCTCTAGATAGACTCTCTCACATGTAACCCTGTGTCTCCTTATATTATATCCACTACATTAGATTCTGTTTGTTCCACAGTGTTCAGCAGCAGAGATCAGAGGTTCCCATTGGTCAGTCTGCCCAGCAGCATCAAACACAGCTGGACTCCATATTTATGGTAGGTGTAAATGTACAAACACAGCTCCTACCGATCATCAGAGCAGATACTCAGTATATTTGGAGGTTTCTGGATTGTTTCCTAATGACTCTGCAAACATCATCTCTGCCTGAATTATCTTCACACTCACAGTTTGACTGATTGAATGAAGCCTCACATTTATGACCTGCTCAGAGTCAGAGGTCAGAGGTCAGAGGTCATGGTGGATGGTGGTCTGACACAGACGAGAGGAGACCAGATGCAGCGCAAGATGGCGGACCCAAAGATAAAAAACCACATTTACAAAACGCAATAAGTTTCCGCATTACCTCCGATTGGCGGACCCAAAACAATTACTTCCGGTGGAAAGGCTTTCTCGTTGGCGGACTTCCGGCGCCGAAATACTTCAGGTAGTCGGATTTAGTCGCCGGATCCTTTTTTTTTTGCTCCGTTCATTCCATAAGAATCGAATTAAATTTATTATTGAGCTAAAAATCAAAATAAAACGTTTATGTATTAATTATGACTACTGTTTTGTTCTGATTTAATTCTGAAGTTTACAGTAATATGTATATATAGCCTGATGTCCTCATATTCTGATAATTTGTCAGAATAGGTAAATGTATGTAGAAGTTATCATCTTACTCAAATTCTTTTGTAAGAGTTTGCTACAAGTATGGACTGTTTTAACCTCTCGTTACACATCATATAACAGTGTTTTCTAACTTTTCTCTCCAATAGCTTTATTACACAGCACATCAATGTTTCTTAACTTCTCTGTGACCTTGTTTCTCCACTCCTATTAGGACCTCGTTTAATGTCAACAATGTTGCCCTGACCCTCACATATTTTCTGTTGTTCATAATTATGTTTTATGAGAGTGCTTATGTTGCTGCACAAATTTACTCCCCCCATCCTTTAGTAACGTTGTGTAACCAGGGACATAATTTATGAAATGGTGTGCTTCCTGGTGAACCTCTTCAGGATTGCTTGACTGTGCAAAATCCAAGTATACAATAGTTGTAGAGACACAAGACACATGATCTCTTTAAGGTTCAGAAGAGCCATATAGCAAAAACAATTGAATTGCGATATCATTACAGACTGTGTAAAGAAATGGGAAATTGTCATACAACTGCTTTGAAGATTTCTTTAATTTTTTCCAAACAAAATTGTGAACAGTAAAAAAATATATATATATACAAAATTCAGCACTGCCGTCGGTGTGGTGGGGGGCTTAAAACACGTTGCCACAGGCCATCATCAGCTCTGCTCTGAACCGGGTGATGCCATGCTCCTTAAGTGCTTTGATCAAAAGCTGAAAAACAGTCAAATAATGTGAACAATTGAAGTTATGCAGTATGGGTTAATTGTTGTTCTTGAGCTTTCCAAATGAATAAGAACAACCTCTTAACAATATCATCAATTTTCAAAGCAAGCTATATAGTTTGATCTACTCACCTCTGGGAGCATGACGTCAAAAACAAAATCAAGCAGATGAATCTCGCCTCTCTTTATTTTTTTAGAAATGTTTGTTGCCACCTCAATGAACCGCAGGAGCTCGAACATCTATTGAAGAAAAACACAGAAAGTAAACACCTTTCAAATGTAACACCCCTGAGAGTAAAAATACTCATGATGGATGGCATTTTTACTTACGCGCTGCTCACTCCAACTTAATGTCCTTATCTTGAGGTGCTGCTTCAGTCGGAGTGAGGTGGCGGGATTCCTCCAAAGGAACATCCGGTTGGAGCGGAGCTTTCCAGAGAGTAGATCATCGTGTAATGTCTAAAACCAAAGAGCAAGAGACAAAAATGTAATCATCTGAAAAGGAAACGGTGGCTTTAACAACTGATAGTGCATTCAAAAGCAACCTTGATCTGTGTCTTAGAAAAGACAGCATCAATTCCTCCACTGTCAACAGCATCCTTGATCCTGCAGAGAAATAAGAAAAAGAGCAAGCCCTCATTTTTTCATCCTTTGAGCCTCGTATTTTTGACTGATACTATGTTTCCTTGATAAATCATGTTATACCGAGGATGCTCAATGGAGTCCTCGCACCTGCAGTCAAACGGCTCCATTTCCATCCCAGCACAATCCTGATGCAGCCAGCCCCTGCACGTCTTGCACTGGACCCATTTGATCAATTTTACCTCAGGGTAAAGCAATCTGATCAAATGAGAGACAAACTTAATATTAAACAAACACGCTGTCCAATTGATTATACCTCTGCAGCACATTTGAATGTATAAATAATTTTCCTGCATGATTCATGCATTTAAACTATATGTAAAAGTGGTCACTTCATGGAAAATCACTGAATAGGCCCCGATAATTGCATTTATTAAATTGAGTCTGCAACACACCTCTCTCCTGTGGTGTCCGATGTCTGGTAGACACAGAATTGCATCGACTCTGCCATGCACATTCTTCGGACATCCGATGCCCTCTGCGTCATGGTTTCCTTGACAAGTCAATTTGAAAAGTAACATCAATTACCAAATACATCGAGACAATGTTGATCCATACAACTGTGTGCATTTTGAAGGACTCCCACTGAGATAATACTGTTTTTAGAAGGCAATTTTCTAACCTCTTTGTCCTGCTGCTCGGCCTTCCTCTTTAGTCTGAAGACCGGAGTATGCTTTCCAGCAATGAGCTCTTGACATTCTTCGGTCCAGTGGGCGAAGATTTTCCCACAACTGTAATGACAATATGTCTTTAAGTACAATATATTGATTGTCTTCCAGTTAATTAGGGCATCTAGTTTACTTAAACTGTCTACCTGTTCAAAGAATTGTTCTCCAGGAGCAACAGGCACCACCATCGCCGCAAAACAGGCATGTCATGCTGAAATTGTTGTTTGTATTTCATTTTAGTGCACAATACAAAATACAGCCTTGAGGATGACACTGCGTGTTGAAAAGTACTTACAACTGAGTAGTCAAACTGTGACTCCATAACGATGTACATGGCAGACTTAAAAAAAATTATGAGACAACATGTGAGATAACTTTAAAAAAGTCCATGTTGGAAAGTTATTCTAGATACAATATTTGTGCATTACAGCTCGTTATGACCTACCATCAACATGAAGATTCCACAGTCTGAGCCAAAGTCCTGGCTGGGGAAGCCCTGATTAAAATAATATAAAATAATATTTTCCTTACCGTTGTTTCGCTGTACAAATGCGCATTGTAAGGTGTGTGCTCCTGTAACGACGTCGATTGAGTTCTTCTTCTTCTGTAAATTTTGCCGTCAGAAAGTGTAGGTACATACCGCCACCTACTGTTCTGGCATCGCAAAGCAGAAGTTCAAAGTTCATGTTTTGGGTCCGCCAATCGGAGGTAATGCGGAAACTTATTGCGTTTTGTAAATGTGGTTTTTTATCTTTGGGTCCGCCATCTTGGCGCTGCATCTGGGTACTCTTGACACAGACTCAGACTTTGGCAGCAGAGAGCAGAGTTCACAAACTGAGTCCAGTTTGAGGTTTAAAGAACAGAAAGACTTTGGTTCATGTCGATGACAGCTGCTGCTTTCAGCTTCATTCTAATAAACACATCACCTCTAAAGTCACTGCAGACTTTTTCTCCATGAAACCACACCAGGAGATTTCTCCAATGTGAAGGTCAGGTCATAGAAACTAGATTTGTAGAAGACAGGACCATCCACAAAGTCAGTCCTGAAGCAGCATTGTGATCCAGTCTCCATACTGGACTCTGTAGACCAGCAGGCTTTCTGTCTGTCATAGATGATCTGATGTTCAGTTCTACAAGTTCAAGTTCACATTTTGTTCTGTTCCAGCTGCTCCAGGAGAACATGATGAGCTTTGTAAAGGAGCAGCTGAAGGAGATCCAGCGAGTTCTGAGTCCAGATGAACCAGAATACTTCAAGAGTCCGAGAGAGGATGAGGATGAAGAGCAGAGGAGGAGCAGAGAGGCGTTTCTGAAGATCACTCTGCACCTCCTGAGAAGAATGAAGCAGGAGGAGCTAGCTGACTGTCTGCAGAGCAGTAAGAGGATATGAAGAGATTTAACATGATGGAGACAACATGGGAGAGGTTTAGAGTTCAGACTCTGCTGTTCATAAGATGCACACATTTGTATCACATCTATGAACTGAGAGAAACTGATCACAGCTGATGAGCTGAAGAGATTTCAGAGAGGAGGGAAATCAAATCCATCCTGATGTCCTCAAGTGTAAATTCATCAGACTGATTGTAGCTTCAGATGATTCATCACATTTCTTTTTGTTCATTCAGGATCTGCTGCTGCAGAGTGCACACACAAACTCAAGTCCAACCTGAAGGAGAAGTTCCAGTGTGTGTTTGAGGGGATTGCTAAAGCAGGAAACCCAACCCTGCTGAACCAGATCTACACAGAGCTCTACATCACAGAGGGAGGGACTGGAGAGGTCAACGATGAACATGAGGTCAGACAGATTGAAACAGCATCCAGGAGAGCAGAGCGACCAGAAACAACCATCAGACAAGGAGACATCTTTAAAGGCTCACCTGGAAGACAGGAACCAATCAGAACAGTGATGACAAAGGGAGTGGCTGGCATTGGGAAAACCGTCTTAACACAGAAGTTCACTCTGGACTGGGCTGAAGACAAAGACAACCAGGACATCCACTTCACATTTCCATTCACCTTCAGAGAGCTGAATGTGCTGAAGGAGAAGTTCAGTTTGGTGGAGCTCGTTCATCACTTCTTCACTGAAACCAAAGAAGCAGGAATCTGCAGCTTTCAACACTTCAGGGTCGTGTTCATCTTTGACGGTCTGGATGAGTGTCGACTTCCCCTGGACTTCCACAACAATCAGGTCCTGACTGATGTTACAGAGTCCAGATCAGTGGATGTGCTGCTGACAAACCTCATCAGGGGGAACCTGCTTCCCTCTGCTCGCCTCTGGATAACCACAAGACCTGCAGCAGCCAATCAGATCCCTCCTAAGTGTGTGGACATGGTGACAGAGGTCAGAGGGTTCACTGACCCTCAGAAGGAGGAGTACTTCAGGAAGAGATTCAGAGATGAGGAGCTTGCCAGCAGAATCATCTCCCACATCAAGACATCCAGAAGTCTCCACATCATGTGCCACCTTCCGGTCTTCTGCTGGATCACTGCTACAGTTCTGGAGGATCTGCTGAAGACCAGAGAGGGAGGAGAGCTGCCCAAGACCCTGACTCAGATGTACATCCACTTCCTGGTGGTTCAGTCCAAAGTGAAGAACATCAAGTATGATGGAGGAGCTGAGACTGACCCTCACTGGAATAAAAAGAGCAGGAAGATGATTAAGTCTCTGGGAAAACTGGCTTTTGAGCAGCTGCAGAAAGGAAACCTGATCTTCTATGAATCAGACCTGACTCAGTGTGGCATGGATATCAGAGCAGCCTCAGTGTACTCAGGAGTGTTCACACAGATCTTCAGAGAGGAGAGAGGACTGTACCAGGACAAGGTGTTCTGCTTCATCCATCTGAGTGTTCAGGAGTTTCTGGCTGCTCTTCATGTCCACCGGACCTTGACCAACTCTGGAGTCAACCTGATGGAAGAAGAACAACTAACAACATCTTCAATCTCTAAATTCTTCAGTGTCAAACCAAAACTGGAACATCTCCATCAGAGTGCTGTAGACCAGGCCTTACAGAGTCTGAATGGACACCTGGATTTATTTCTACGTTTCCTCATGGGTCTTTCTCTGCAAACCAATCAGAATCTCCTGAGAGGTCTGCTGACACACACAGGAAGTAGTTCACAGACCAATCAAGAAACAGTCCAGTACATCAAGAAGAAGATCAGTGAGGATCTGTCTGCAGAGAAAAGCATCAATCTGTTCCACTGTCTGAATGAACTGAATGATCGTTCTCTAGTGGAGGAGATCCAACAGTCCCTGAGATCAGGACGTCTCTCCACAAAGAAACTGTCTCCTGCTCAGTGGTCAGCTCTGGTCTTCATCTTACTGTCATCAGAAAAAGATCTGGACGTGTTTGACCTGAAGAAATACTCTGCTTCAGAGGAGGGTCTTCTGAGGCTGCTGCCAGTGGTCAAAACCTCCAACAAAGCTCTGTAGGTGGACACATGAGAGATGAAACATTATTGTTCATGAGAGATGAAACTTTGTGTCTGTGCTAATCACTGATTCTTCTTCAGGCTGAGTGGGTGTAACCTGTCAGAGAGAAGCTGTGAAGCTCTGTCCTCGGTCCTCAGCTCCCAGTCCTCCAGTCTGAGAGAGCTGGACCTGAGTGACAATGACCTGCAGGATTCAGGAATGAAGCTGCTGTCTGCTGGACTGAAGAGTCCTCACTGTATACTGGAAACTCTCAGGTCTGTGTGAAGTTAAATATTAAAATTAAATCTGTATGGGATTTAAAAAAAAACAACAGAACACCAAGAAACTGATAAATATTTTACTTTGAGGAAGGACAAGTTTGAATAGTGAAAGTCAGTCCATTTTTTTAAGGATTGCCATTTAACACCATTAAAAGATGAAAACACAAAAAAAGAAACAAACACTTTAATTAAAGATGAATTAAGCGTTTTAAATAACAGTACAACTGTAATTAACCATGAATAAAGACTTTTTTTAACTTTCCTATTTTTTTAGGTTTACTGGATGTTACCTGTCAGAGAGAAGCTGTGAAGCTCTGTCCTCAGTCCTCAGCTCCCAGTCCTCCAGTCTGAGAGAGCTGGACCTGAGTCACAATGACCTGCAGGATTCAGGAGTGAAGCTGCTTTCTGCTGGACTGAAGAGTCCTCACTGTAAACTGGAAACTCTCAGGTCTCTGTGAAGTTAAATATTAAAATTTAATTGGTATGGGATTTAAAAAACAAAATATCCAGAAACTGATAAATATTTTACTTTGAGGAAGGACAAGTTTAAATAGAGAAAGTCAGTCTATTTATGTAAGATTGCCATTTAACACCATTAAAAGATGAAAACACAAAAAAAGAAACAAACAATTTAATTGAAGATGAATTAAGCCTTTTAAATAACAGTAAAACTGTAATTTAACATGAATAAAGTTTTTTTTTTATCTTCCTATTTTTTAGGATTACTGGATGTAACCTGTCAGAGAGAAGCTGTGAAGCTCTGTCCACAGTCATCAGCTCCCAGTCCTCCAGTCTGAGAGAGCTGGACCTGAGTCACAATGACCTGCAGGATTCAGGAGTGAATTTGCTGTCTGCTGGACTGGAGAGTCCTCACTGTAAACTGGGAACTCTCAGGTCTGTATCAGGTTAAACATAAAAGTTTACTCTGTCAGTGTTCAAAAACACAGAAACATAAGCACCGTTACAAGAGAGAGCTTCTTACTGCTTTTTTATTGTAATATTAGTCGGGCCAAGTGAAGAGAGAATATTAATTCAGTCAGATCTTGTTAAGATAATTAATGAAAAGTAATGAGAGAGAATTTTTTTAAAGATTATGATATGTTTGAAAAAGAAGCAACGCATCTACTTCCTTTAATGATCAATGCAACAAAAGACCTTATTTTACTCAAATATCTTCAGGTTTACTGGATGTAACCTGTCAGAGAGAAGCTGTGAAGCTCTGTCCTCAGTCCTCAGCTCCCAGTCCTCCAGTCTGAGAGAGCTGGACCTGAGTAACAATGACCTGCAGGATTCAGGAGTGAAGCTGCTGTCTGATGGACTGAAGAGTCCCCACTGTACACTGGAAACTCTCAGGTCAGTATAAGGTTGAACATAAAACGTTTCTCTGTCAGATCACAAGACCACAGAAACAAAAGCATCAATAAAACGGAGAGCAACTTATGATCTTGTGATAAATTTGGTCAAGTCAAGGGAGTTAACTAATTCAATCGGATCTGGTTCGAATGACTTGATTTAAACTGATGAAAATGAAAATGAAAAAAGCAATTTATGATATTATAGAAGAAAAGAAACATCCATGAGTTTTGATTATAAGTGAAACAAAAGAGCTTATTTGTTCAAAATTCTTCATGTCTGTTCAGGTTGAGTGGATGTAACCTGTCAGAAGAAAGCTGTGAAGCTCTGTCCTCAGTCCTCAGCTCCCAGTCCTCCAGTCTGAGAGAGCTGGACCTGAGTGACAATGACCTGCAGGATTCAGGAGTGAAGCTGCTGTCTGCTGAACTGAAGAATCTTCACTGTAAACTGGAAACTCTCAGGTCTGTGTTAAGTTAAATATTGATATTTAATCTTTAAGAGATGAAAAAAAAGAAAATAAAACTAAATGAGATATAAATTGAGCAACTGATAATCATTTCAGTTTTAGGAAGGATAAAAGTGAGCAGTTAAAGTCAGTCCTTTTTTTATGTTGGCTGTTTCATAACATTAGGGGATGGACACAAAAATAATAAAATGCTGCACTGAAGAGTAAAAATAGCCTTTAAATAACATTAAAACTTGTATTAAGCTCATAAAAAAAGGAATATATTTTTCAATATCATCCTATTTCTTTAGGTTTACTAGATGTAACCTGTCAGAGAGAAGCTGTGAAGCTCTGTCCTCAGTCCTCAGCTCCCAGTCCTCCAGTCTGAGAGAGCTGGACCTGAGTCACAATGACCTGCAGGATTCAGGAGTGAAGCTGCTGTCTGAGGGACTGGAGAGTCCTTACTGTAAACTGGAAACTCTCGGGTCTGTATCAGGTTGAACATAAAACTTTACTCTGTCAGTGTTCAAAACCACAGAAACAAAAGCATCTATAAAACAGAGAGCTACTTACTGCTCTTTTATTATAAGTGGGTTCAAGTGGAGAGACATTATTAATTCAGTCAGATCTTGTTAAGATGATTAAAAGTAATGAGAGATTTTTGTTAAAGATTATGAAATGTTTGAAAAAGAAGCAACGCATCTACTACATTTAACAATCACTGAAACAAAATACCTTATTTATACCTGAGGCTGCTGCCAGTGGTCAAAGCCTCCAACAAAGCTCTGTAGGTGGACACATGAGAGATGAAACATTATTGTTCATAAGAGATGAAACTTTGTGTCTGTGCTAATCACTGAATCTTCTTTAGGTTTACTAGATGTAACCTGTCAGAGAGAAGCTGTGAAGCTCTGTCCTCAGTCCTCAGCTCCCAGTCCTCCAGTCTGAGAGAGCTGGACCTGAGTAACAATGACCTGCAGGATTCAGGGGTGAAGCTGCTGTCTGCTGGACTGACGAGTCCTCACTGGAAACTGGGAACTCTCAGGTCAGGTTTCTGCTGATTGATTTTTGTAGCTGTTTGAATTAAATTGTCTAAAGTTGGTACATTTTTCCTTGTTTCATATTTTTTATGACTCCAGGTTATCAGGCTGTCTAATCACAGAAGAAGGTTGTGCTTCTGTGGCCTCAGCTCTGAGCTCCAACCCCTCACACCTAAGAGAGCTGGACCTGAGTTACAATCATCCAGGAGACTCAGGAGTAAAACTGCTTCGTGCTGGACTGAAGGATCCTCTATGGAGACTGGATACACTGAGGTATAACCAGACAGTTACTGGGTCACAGACAACTACAGATATATTTGGTTTCTTCTTCCTGAGGTCTTCACTTAGCAGGTCATGATTGTGGACCATCTTTCTGACTCTTGGATGTGAACAGTTTTATCCTGGATAGTAGTTGTGATGCTCACTAGTTCTCAGCCTCCCTCCTTCCTCTTAATGTAGACCCTCAGGGTTCTGGATTTAGGGTGAAAACCTCCATTTGAGTATTTTGAGGAGTTTTCTTGTCTTAGTAAAGTATTTTTAATTGAAAAAGTTATTGTATTATTAAAACAGGAATTCATAAAGTGGTTTCCAAATTCATGAGTTCATCCATAAACAAATCCAGGAATTATAAAAAGAGCCTACAAATGAATCTGTACAAAAGTTTATTTTTTAACCCTCGGTTCCTTTTAATTTTAAGCTCCATGCAGCCTACTTTGTCTCCAAAACAGATAAGTGTTGATTAAATAATCATTTTTAAACTTTTTTTTTACTACTTTTTATGCTAGTTTTTGTGTGCCATATCACTGCTTTTTTTAATGGTAAAAAACACAAAATTGCCATATTTCCCATATAAAATGACCCAGATGAAAACTTTTTTTTATATATAAATAAAAAGAGTCTGGGCCATGTCAATGATGAGAAGTAAAACTGATTTTGGTGCATATAAATTCTTTTTGTGGTGCCAATTTTTCATATCTGGAGCTCCATCCAGCCTACTTTGCAGCAGAAAAACACGCCATTTTCACCTCCTTTTCTTGAGCCCCATCCTCTACCAAATCAAATGAATCAAATTCATTTGTTCATGTTAAATTAATTTTATATATCGGCATATAAAATCAGAAGATATATATAAAATAGGAATAATTTACAAGTGGTTATCCACCTCTAGCCAAAATATGACCATGATTACTCTGATTGCACGCATATAAAAAATAATATATAGAAATAATAATATATCTCAAAATTATATATTGAGATGTGCATATTTGAGATGTGATATCTTCTCACCTAATGATCTGAAGGACCTGTTCATCCTCGTGCATGTCCATCTACTTGCTCTGAAGTGAGGGCAAAGTTGAAATTGTCTAAATGTCCCCCTCTCTTTGTCCCACACTGCAGAACTTGGACGTCAGATTTTTGACTGTAAAAACTCTGCTCATGTCCGGTTATAAACATGGACGCAGATTCTCCTTACCGTGGTGGAGGAGTTTGCGTGCTCTAATAAACCTAGGGGCTATGCTGTCCGGGGCTTTTTGCCCCTGGTTATGTTATGTTATGTTTTTTATGGATCCCCATTAGTCTTCACTTTGTGAAGACTATTCTTCCTGGGGTCCTCCACTCATGCATACAGTCAACTAAAATAAAAAAAAATAAAATAAAAAATCCATATGATTTCATGGCATTATACAGTAAAATAAAGCAAACAAAATACAAAAGTACAAATCATACAATCTGGTCTAAGCATTAAATAATTATAAAGCAATTATAGAAAATTATGCGCAAACAAAATACAAAAAAATACATTTGAAATTTACATTACTCAAATATACTAATATAAGTCCTTCCAAAGTATAGTTGAAATTTCTAACTGAACACCACTTCTTTGTCTTTAATAGCTTCTTTTAGTTTCTTTTTGAATCTCCATTTATTGTCTATTTTAGTTATATTTGTTGGAAGCCTATTCCAGTGGGTTACTGCTCTATACATTACTGTACTCTTGAGAGCGTCAATTCTTGGTCGAGGTAAAGTGAAGTGGTCACCCATGGCATGACTAGTAGCATGGCCATGTCTAGTATTTGTAGATTCTAGTTGTAGCTGTATATATTTTGGTTTTCCAAAATGATATATATTAAACAGAAATACCAGCAGACTACATGCCAGTCTATGGTCCACTCTCATCCAAGATAACTGTCTGTGCATCCACTCAACAATAGTCCTCCCTGTGCAGTGGAGGGCCAGACGGGCTGCTCGGTTTTGAATGATCTGCAATTTATGTAAGTCTTGTTTTGATGCGCTTGAACAAACTGCTGGGCAATAATCATCAAGATAGAACTAAAGATTGTAGTACATGTTTAACTGTTGAGGCAGACAACAAGTGTGCAGCCTTTCTTATCATTGAGATAGTGCCACTCATTTTTGACACCATTTTATCAATATGTGATGACCAGGAAAGTGTTTCCTCAATGATCACATCTGACAGTTTGGCCTCTTTAACTTGTTCAATAGTAGCACCTTGTGTAGCAAGATTCAGTAGAGTAGATCTCAGTGTATAACTGGAACCCAGCATCAAACTCTTTGTTTCTAAAACATTCAGCTTCAACCTATTTTCACTAACCCAGTTAAAGACTAACATCAACTCATCATGCAGCAATGTGTTAACTAAATCAGCGTTTTCCCTGGATACATACATTGTAGTGTCATCGGCATATATTTCCATGCGTGCACTCCTTAGTACATGTGGTAAATCATTAACATAAATTGAGTACAATAACGGGCCTAGGCAACTCCCCTGGGTTATACCACATTCAAGGGTCACCATATCTGAAACTGTACCATTAAACACTACACATTGTTGCCTCTTTGACAAATAACTTTCCATTAACCTAATAGCACCATCTTCAAAATGATATGCTGATAACTTCTTTAATAACAACTCATGATCAATTATATCAAATGCTGCACTTAAGTCCAAGAGCACAACACCCACCATTGACTTTTCATCAATATCTCTTAACCAGTTCTCTGTTAGCGATGTTAGTGCTGTGCTTGTGGAATGGCCAGCTCTATATGCATGCTGACACTCAGTGATGGTGTTATTTGCTTCTAAGTAGCATTGAATCTGTTCATACATTATTTTTTCTGTCAATTTACTTAATACAGGTAGTATACTCACAAGCCTACTATTCGGACCAGCAAATGCCTCTCCACAGTTTTTTGGCATTAGAGTGACCTTTGCAATCTTCCACATCTGTGGAAACACTCCCGTTTCAAAACTTAAATTCAAAATATGACATATAGGTGCTACAATAAACTTGGCTGCAATACACAGCAGCCTACCATCCAAATTATTAGCTCCACATGATTTATCTCTTTTAATTGATAGCAAAAACCTCCCGAGTTCCTCTAGTCCTATTCTCTTAAATTGAAAACTACACACCTTATCCTTCATAATCTTATTTCTTATAACAGAATCCACACATATAATGACATCCAGTAGGCCTGTCATCTGACCTCTAATTGTATTGACTTTATTGATGAAAAAAATATTAAAATAATTCGCAATGTAATGAGACAACTGCTTTCTGCTATCCACCTTGAATTCACCCCTCAAAGGAATGCAGGCTCCCCTGGTTTGGACAGGAAATGGGGGAGTAACGGTTTGCACACCAAGTTCCCATTTACGACCCAAGAAACCATTGGGGAGGTGATAGTGAATCTTTAATGCTTCCCAAAAGGACAAGTTGCTTATCAACCACACAGACCCATAAACACGGAGCCTTTCTCCCTGGCTGGGAAAGATCAGAATTGACACTTCAGGATTAACCCATCGACCTAAAAGGAAAACAAAGCATTTGGCGCCAAGTCTGAAAAACCAGATACCTGCCATAAAATCTCCATGGCTTTCTTTACTGAGCAGAAGGAAGAGGATGCCTGAAAATGGTTTAACTTCATGTTTAATGGACATGTCACCAGAATTGTCTGTCTGCACACCACATTCTTAATGAAATGGTCTTTTTCCCAATTTTGTAGCATATCCACAAGCCAAACTGTTAACTTCACAAATTTATTCCAGGTTTTCCATGGATCAAGAGCTCCTCCTAGTGGTGATGCCTGAATATGGTTTGATCAGAGCCAAATGGCAGGAATCTAATCACGTGTATTTCTTTCCTTTTGTTTTACACTTCGTAGCTTAGTAAATGGTATTCCCAAGATAGGCTAGTAGTTTAGAAGTAGTAACGTGAAACTCGTTTAGACTCAAGTTAAGAGTTTCTGAATGTATCCATACTATGTTTTGTCTACCTCACACAAATCTATATTAATCATCTATGAAGCTTGATTGACAAGGTTATAGTGTTGTCAAATATTATTACGTATGTGTTTCTTATGCTGGATGGTGTTTCTGTTCGAATAGATAATTTGTTTTCTGTCCCTCTCTAACTTTTAAAAGTCATTAATCCTCTGTCAGTGTCAAGAAGACGGCTGATCAAAGTTTACTGTTTTCAATGTCATGTTTTAATGCATCTGCTCATAAGAAACAATGAAGTGAAATGTGATCGTATGTGATGTTACCAACAGTTTAATCATAGTGAGTGAGTAAACTAGATCTAGCTCGCTTTTAATATCAAGTTGAGTTAATTCGCTGCCAGTCGATGTGCTGCATCGGGTTACAGCATTGGCTGTAACTTTCCTCTTGGCTCACGCCCACACGGGACTGTTTAAAAGAGCCCGGGAGTCTTTGCTCGCTCTTCAGTTTTTGTCTCTTCCGTTTTTGTCTCTTCCGTTTTTCCTCTTCGTTTAGTTTTCTTTGTCTCTGTCTATAGTTCGCAATTTTCCCCGCGTTTTATTAATTGCCTTAAGCTCAGATTTTTCTTCTAAACTTGGATGAAACATTCCCAAGTCCCTTTAAAGCCTCAGTAACAAGCTGCGCGCATAAGATAACCTCAGTCTAAGTCTTTTTATTTATTTTTGTTCGCTAAAGTGACTCCTGAAGATAATATCGGCTGGCCAGCGAAATTATTTTCTTAAGTTATTGGCGCGAATTAATCTGCAACCAAGCAAGTCCTGAACGCCGACCAGCATCATCTGCCAAGCTGCTTTGCCACCCGGTTCCGAGAGGCCCAGAAATCCGAAGTATCTAACGGCGCTGACACGGTCCTGAAGCTGAGATCCAGACACGGCGGAAGAACTCCCCGCCGAACCTTCAGAGCGGATCAGAGCGGCGTCAGCAGTGATGCAGACGCTTAACCGATCAGTCGTGGGGAAGAATGAGCTCAGCCGTAAGGCGAAACTCTCGATTACCGGTAGATCTACGTGCAGACTCTCACCTATGGCCATGAACTGTGGGTACTGACCGAAAGAACAAGGTCGTGGATACAAGTGGCCGAAATGGGTTTCCTTCGCAGGGTGGCCAGGCTCAGCCTCAGAAATAGGCTAAGGAGCTCGGACACTCAGGAGGTGCTCAGAGTAGAACCGCTGCTCCTCCACGTCGAGAGGAGTCAGCTGAGGTGGCTCGGGCATCTGGTTCGTATGCCTTCTGGACGCCTCCCTTTAGAGGTGTTCCAGACATGTCCCACCAGGAGGAGACCCCGTGGCCGGCCCAGGACCAGGAGGAGGGATTATATCTCTCACCTGACCTGGGAGCGCCTGGGAATCCCCCCGGAGGAGCTTGCGGAAGTGGCTGGGATGAGGGCCATCTGGGCTTCCCTCCTGAAGCTGCTGCCCCCGTGACCCGGACCCGGATGTAGTGGAAGAAAACAATGACAACTACGCACACACACAGGAGCACACAAACTTTTCCTTACACACATATCCCACTCTTGGGCATCCATATCTAGTGTCATGTAAAGTTTCCTTCATTTCTGATGATGTTTAGTGGATGAATCTTCAAACACTCTAAGTCCATGAATGAAGACTTGCGTGCGCGGCACTGAAGGGGTTAAAATGATGTGCAGCTCAATCTGTTGTCTCACTGTGGGAAAGTCAAATTTAGAGCCCTGCTGATCGACTGACTGCAAAAAAAAGGTTATATGTTGTTTTGGTGCCATAAACACACGGTCAAAAAACACGTTTTTAATGGAAGTCTATTGGCCGATTTGTGGACAAAGGAGGGTGGGTGGAGCTAAAATGTGGCGACAGAGAACTACAGGTGACACCAAGTTTTTATTAATATGAAGAAAAATAAGAACTCTCACCAAATTTGATGCTCCAATCTTTAAAAATGTGACTGTCAGCTCAAAATAAAGATGAAAAAAAAAGACAAATGTCCTCAAAACGGACAGAGGAGGAACCAGCGGTTAAAAAAACATGAATGTATTCCCTTATCAATAGTTTAAAAATCAGTCTGAAAATGAAGTTTTAAAAAAGAGAAATAAATAAGTGAATTGACAAACTGAAGTAAGAATACAGCTTTTAATCAGACATTTAAAGGACAATTCCTCTTTTTATTTCCATTTCCTGTCTGCTTTTCCTTTTCCTGTTAGCTAATCGATTATCAAAGTCATTTATCTCTCCGTTCCTCCTCTCCATTTTTCCCTCCCTCACACTTTGGGCCTTGAGCTGGTAAAACCAGGTAAAAAAATTCAGATGAGCCATGAAACAAGCTCTCTGATTGGTTATAACCTGGCCTATTACATGCAGATGTCTGCAGGGAGGTGAAGATGATGGAGGATGAGGAAGAATAGACCTTACCCAGTGTTCCAGGTGGAAAGAGGTCCAAACCTGGATATTGTGACTCTGTGGTCATTTCACAGCTCCCTGATTGATGAACAGACACACAGACTAAAAACAGAGATGATCAGGAGAGAGATGGGCTCATATTTGAAGTTATAAACACATTTGACAGTCCTTTAGCCCACGTCAGAACTCAGAGAAGATGCTTTATTACACCTGATGTTACAAGATGAAGGTTCACATCTAGTTGAATGATCAGAGCAGAACAACATTCAGATCTCCTCCAGATCCTTTATTTCATTCATCCATACAGACCAGGATCAACTCTCCTGGCTGACATGGGAAGGAACTCTGCTTCATGTTGGACAGCAGGTAGGACTCATGTTGGACACTCAATCATTCTGACTGTGTTTCTTCCTCCAGGGTGGACCATGGTGGAGAGCAGAGGTTAAAACCTGGTGTGAAGAAGTGTAAGTGTTGAATCAGTTTGACTCCTGATGACCAAACAGCAGACTGTCAGCTAACAAAGAAGAAAGCCTTCAGGTGTGTCTGATGATAACCTGCTGCTGTGTTGTGTCTTTTTCTCTCTGTCAGATTTCTGTGAACTCACACTGAACTCAAACACAGTAAACGGACGCCTCAGACTGTCTGAAAACAACAGGAAGGTGACACGTGTGGAAGAGGATCAGTCATATCCTGATCATCCAGACAGATTTGACGTCTGGCCTCAGCTTCTGTGTAGAGATGGTCTGACTGGTCGCTGTTACTGGGAGGTCACGAGGAAAGGAGAGGTTGATATATCAGTGAGTTACAGAGGAATCAGAAGGAAAGGAAAGAGTGTTTACTGTGTGTTTGGATCTAATGATCAGTCCTGGAGTCTGATCTGCTCTGATGAAGGTTACTCTGTCCGTCACAATAACAGAGAAACAGACCTCCGTCTCCCCTCGTCCTCTGTCTCTAACAGAGTAGCAGCGTATGTGGACTGTCCTGCTGGCACTCTGTCCTTCTACAGCATCTCCTCTGACATACTGATCCACCTCCACACCTTCAACACCACCTTCACTCAACCTCTCTATCCTGGGTTTGGGTTCTGTTCTGGTTCCTCAGTGAGTTTGTGTTCTGAGTAGGAGGGAGAGTCTCCTCCTCTCTACACAAACAGCAGCTGAAGAACAGTCGACCCTCTGCACTTACACAAACTTCAGCTGATTATCTGACTGTTTGTATCCTGTCACATCAGTCTGAATGTCTGTTATCAAAGAGCAGGACTCCATGTCAAACTGGCTCACTGAACTGGACTGATTTCTGTCTCTATGGGGGAAAAATCTGCCTCATTCAGCACATTTTTCTTCACTGTATTGATCAGAAAGTTTGTCTGAACAGTCAGAGTCAGACTCCTGAAACTCTTCTTCACCTGCACAGGTGTTCATACTTGTGTTAAACTGATGAAGGTCATGTCCTCATGAGACTGCAGGCTGGTTCACACACACACACAGAAAAATCAGAGCCAAGCTGAGAGGAGGATTAGAAAGAAGTGAAGACAGAAAACATGAAAATCTGGAGCTGGAGCAGCAGACTGTAAACAGAAGAGAAAGTGAACGTCACCTCTTAACCAACAAACCTGCTTTAGAAATCATTACAACTCAAATCAAAGAGAAAAATCACAATGAATGAAGAAAGAAGGGTGAAAAATTCAAGAGGAATACAGGTGTAAGAATTGATGTAAGGACGTTTATGAAATATGAACTCAATAAAGAAATCTATATTCTAACAGCTGTCTCAGTTTAGTTCTTACTAATAATCAAATAGATATTAATGATGCTATTGGATGGATCTGAATATTAAAAATCAATTCTAAAAGAAAGCAGTCATCTCAGTGGACAAAACTTTACATAAACGGACAGTTATACCGCAGCAAGGATATCACCCCCTGGTTATACTAGCCCCCCGTCTCTCTGTAAACTATCTCTCTCTTCCTTTCTCATACTCATGCACTCTCGCTCTCTCCACCCGCTACACAGACCCCTGCCCCCCTTTCCGCCGTTGTTTGCAATATCTGATAAGGACAATCAAAAATAGTCACGCACCAACGTCTCGCCCCGCACTCTATGCGCTCTCGGTGTTCTTTATTGTTATACGTTTGTGTTTTGTTTGCTGTTTGTATGTGTGTAAACATTACTGTATATGTCCCTTTTTGTTTTGTATTCACTTGTCTAGTCTCTCTCTCTCTCGCTCTCTCTCTCACACTCACACACACACACGCATACACACACATTCACTCACTCAGCATAATGAATCCCTCTCCTTTTGATAAAAGTCACCCAACATGTCAGCAATAAAATTCGTTTCTTGGAACATCCGTGGCATTGGAACTCAGGCTAAGAAAAATAAAGTATTTAATCATCTCACCTCACTCCATGCAGATATTTGTTTACTACAGGAAACACATCTCTCATGATCAGACATCAAATTACAATCATCTCAGTTTACTCACTTATTTTCATCACATTTCAATAAAAAACAAAGAGGAGTTTGTATTTTAATCAGTAAATCAATATCATTTATACACAATACCACCATAATAGACCCAGAAGGATGTTTTGTCATCATTAACATAACAATCAATAATAGCCCACTGACAATTGGTAATATATGTATATGGCCCAAACACTGATGACCCGTCTTTTTTTTCATAAATTCTTTTCATCCATTTCCAACTTTTCTGACTCCCCAATAATAATTGGCGGCGATTTTAACACAGTATTAAACCCATCAATAGACAGATCTAACACATCAAGCAATACACGCATCTGGCAATCTACTCAAACAATAATCCAGTTCATGAGTGATTTTGGTCTTGGCGACGGTTGGCGCCTACAACACCCAACTGTCAGAGAATTCTCATTTTTTTCATCAGTACATCATTCATATTCACGCATCGATTTCTTCCTTACCAGCAATTCAATCATCTCAAATATTTTTGATCATCAAATCCACCCCATCATTATCAGTGATCATGCCCCAGTATCATTCAAATGGAACCCACCAAGACCACAAAAACCAGTCATCAGATGGCGCTTTAACACATCCCTCCTGAAAGATCCTGAATTTAACAACCTCATCAAAAGAGAGTGGGTATCCTTCCTGGAAATAAATGATTCCCCAAAGCCATCCCCCACACTTCTATGGGAAACAGGTAAAGCAGTCATCAGAGGAATTATCATTTCACATTCAGCCTACAAGAAAAAGAAAGAAAACAAACAAGAATCTGAATTACAAGAAAAAATCAAACAGCTAGAAACTGTCAATGCAACTAATCCAACAGAAGAAAACGAGAAGAAATTAAGAAAATATAAACTAGAAATAAATGAAATTCTGAACAAGAAAACTAACTTCATGATCAGCAGGCTCCGACAGGAAAACTTCCATCACAATAACAAATCCGGCAAATATCTCGCAAACCAAATCAAAAGAAATAAAGAAAAATCCACAATCTCCACCATCATGAACTCAGCAGGGAAGTCAACAAACTCACCCGATGAAATAAATCAAATATTCAGAGAATTTTATGTCAACCTATACTCCTCAGATAATACCCCTAAGGAAGAAGACATCAGACTATTTCTCACCAGCCTCAATTTACCCCAACTCTCCCCTGAACAAAAAAACACATTAGACACACCCCTAACAACTGAAGAAATCCAATCTGCCCTCAACAGAATCCCTAACAAAAAAGCACCCGCTCCTGATGGCTTCCCTGCTGAGTTCTACAAACACTTCTGGTCCATCTTAGCTCCACTTTTCCACAGAATGATAACAGAAACACAACAAACCTCCAGACTTCCACCCAACATGAATACAGCATCTATCTCACTGCTTCTTAAACCAAACAAAGACCCCACCCTGCCATCAAGTTACCGCCCTATTTCACTTCTCAATGTTGACATTAAAATTATCACCAAGGCACTTTCTCACCGATTAGAAAAAATTATTCCATCCATTATTCACCCGGATCAAACAGGATTTATTAAAGGAAGAAACTCATCCAATAACACACGCAGACTATTCAATATAATGCACCACTCAACCACACATAACCATAATTCAATCATAGCCACCTTGGATGCAGAAAAAGCCTTTGATAGAGTTAACTGTGTAGGGTGTGGATGAGGAATGACCAGTTTCGGCTTTGGGGAATCATTTATTAACTGGATTAGAACACTTTACACCTCACCTACAGCCACAGTTATTACTAACGGACAAACCTCACAAAGCTTCACTCTTCACAGGGGGACCAGGCAAGGTTGCCCACTCTCTCCCTCTTTGTTCACCATTTTCATTGAACCCCTAGCAGCAGCCATCCGTCAGAACCCCCTCATTACAGGAATCCAAACCGCCAACATGCATCATAAAATCAGCCTCTATGCAGATGACATTTTACTTTTTATGGATAATCCAGAATCATCACTACAAGAAGTAATCAGAGTCATCAAATCCTTCTCCCTTCTCTCTGACTACTCAATAAACTGGAACAAATCCTCCATACTCCCATTAAACAACAACAGTCTGGCTGTGGCAGCCCTTACAACACCCATCCCCTTCTGCACAAGTCACATCACCTACTTAGGCATCCACATTTCCCCCAGGCTGTCAGAGTTGATCAACCTGAACTTCACTCCACTCCTAAAAACAATCAATGACGATCTCAAATGATGGATGAACCTCCCATTATCTATTATAGGCAGAATAGCAACAGTTTAAATGACAATCCTCCCCAAAATCAGTTACCTTTGTTCAATGATTCCCACTCATCCACCTCTCACCTGGTTTCATTCCCTCGATTCATCCATCAACAAATTTTACTGGAAAAATAAACCCCCACAAATCAAACTGGCCACTCTTCAAAATTCAAAAAGTTTAGGCGGACTCAATGCTCCAAATTTTCATTATTACTCACTAGCAAATCAACTTCAATACATCTACAAATGGACCCACCCCACCCAGTCAGATAGTACTTGGTTAGATGTAGAACAAATAGTTAGCAAAAACATCCATCTCTCAGACTTACCTTTCCTGAGTCAAACTATCAAAAAACACCCCTGTTTCCAAAACCCCACAATATCATCGGCCCTGACAGCTTGGTGGAAATTCTACAGCATTACTAACTCCACTCTGGCACCGTCGCTTTTCACCCCGATCTGGCACAACCTGGACTTCATCAGCAATAAACAATCACTATACTTCAGCACCTGGGTAGAGAAAGGGATTACTCACCTCAAACATATCTTCAACAATAACACCCTGGTCCCATTCTCTCTCCTGGTCCAGAAGTTTGGCATCAGGAGCCATCAATTCTTACAATATCTACAGGTTTCATCATCCATCCAATCAACAATGAAAAACAAGAATATAAACTTAGACCTCCCCCCGTTACCCTCTAAATTCATTAACATCCTTTCCTCAAAGAAACTTTTATCCAAAATATACAAATTATTATCACAGGCCGATTCAACACCCTCCATACCTTCAGAAAAATGGGAAACTGACCTCTCCATTGCTCCTGATGCTGACTTCTGGCCCCAAATCTGCAAGAACATTTTCTCCATGACGACAAATGCCAATTTACAACTCATACAATACAAAATCCTTCATAGAACTCATCTGACTGGACACAAAATGCAAAAAATGGGCTTCTCATCATCTGGAAACTGTTCACACTGCTCACTAAACTGCACTGATACCTATATTCATGCAACCTGGTACTGCACACCTGTTCACCACTTCTGGAGAAACATTACAGAAACATTATCCCAGATCATGGGCTGCCACATCCCACTTTCTCCTTCCCTCTGTTTATTAGGAGACCTATCTACATTAAATCTTGACAAAACACACACACGTTCACTTCTAGTGGCGCTGACCGTCGCCAGGAAAACTATCCTCATGAACTGGAAGTCTCGGAACTCCATACACATCATACACTGGAAAAATCTGCTCACAGACTACATCTCCTTAGAAAATACAAACTCCTCTGACAATAATCATAACTCTACCTGGTTATCATTCATCACTTTTCTACAATCATAATCTGCCACAAACCAGTCACAACATCAACGATCTCAGTTCTCTG